TAGTGTAGAGGTGGGTTCTTTTGGTGATGTTATCATTATACTTATAGTTGCTGGCTGTATGGAAGAATTGATAAGGTTTTGTTTGTAGGATCTCTCACGGGGTTTTCCATCCACAAATCCCATTCTTTTTAGAAGGGTTTCATAATCCCTCAGTTCCCTTCTTGGCAATATAGTACCATCACTGGCTTTTACAAGACCAGGGGCATCAAATGGAGGTTTTTGTTTTGACTGGATGATAGGAGAGGTAGTCATTGCAAAAGCCATTGGTTCAGGACAGTCGTTCATAAACTATTCCTCTGAACCCATGCCATCTGAAGGCGGAACGTTATAGTCCATCTCTACAGATCCCTTATCTGAATCAGGAAATGTTAGGGAATCAACTGAGAGAGGGTATGTATGTATGTCAGCTTTGTTTAAATCAGAAGTGCTGTAGTTATAGTCTTTGCACAAAGGAGTGGTTGTTTCTGTGGTCTGTATATTAGGATTATCACTTACAGGAGGTCTTCTGGGACATTTAGTAATTCGGTGTCCTGTATCACCACAATAATAACACAAGTCATCTTGTCTCTTTTCCATTACAAATTAAGTTAGTGGTTCTCTTTTCCTGCTTTTCTTGGAAGGAGTGATTGGCTTGGGCTTTTTCTCTGTATTTTCTCTTTCAGGAGAATTGCTGGAACCTGCTTGTACAACACGTCTTTACATAGTTCTAGTAAACATGCTGCTAGGAGCTTTAAAACATTAGTTAACCCTGGAGTCTCTGTTTTAAGGCCTTTACATTGATTGAAATTTGTGCCCTGAAGTGGACAAGACATCTGATCCTGGCTCCTATTCTGAGATCTTGCTATATTCTGAACCATCCTAATTCATCCTTTCAACTTGCCTCACTTACTGAACACTGCTTAACCAACCTGGAGATCCCGATCGTCTATCCATACCAGCTTTAGTCAATACTGGACTTTGTTTCATTATTACTTCGTTCCTACAAATTACTGGTAACTATTTAACCAACCTGGATGTCCAGCTTTATTCAAATACTGGACTTTGATTTATGATAAACCCTGCTGTACAATCTTCAAAACCAAAGAGACTGATCCTCTAAACGTTAAACCTATCAGTATTACTTGTTCCTTTATATTGTTGTTTAGTTGTATATACTTGTAACCTATAAATTCTATTATAGGTTTTCCTTCTCTTCTCCTTCATACTCACCTATAATTTCGTTTATAGGTTCTCCTTCTATTTCTCTCTCACAGCCTGTATCCTACTTAGGGCATCTTCAGGGATAATACCAATCAGGTGGCCTTGAATGCATGGGCCATCCGATGGCAGAGCCCCAAGTTTTGGTGCAAATTTGAACTTGAAACCAGGTTAATATGCTTGCATGGTGCACCTCCTAGCTTAATACATAAGAGATTTAAAAAAAAAGCACTGCAGCCTTGTTAGCTCCCCAATCTATATATATATATATATATATATATATAAATGTATGTAGTTCGCTAGATCATTGTTAGATCAATTGTATTTGTATTAGGGATCGACCGATATTGATTTTTTAGAGCCGATACCGATACCGATAATCTGCAAACTTTCAGGCCGATAGCCGATATCTTGCCGATATTCTGTACATTTACTATTTTGAATAAATAAACTAATTCGAAAGGTAAATGCACAAAATATACATGCCACATGTAGTGGATGAAGTGTGTTTAGACAGGGGAACTGTGTGTGTTTGTGTAGTGTGTGTAGTGGATGCAGAGTGTGTGTTTGTGTAGTGTGTGTATAATGAATGTAGTGTGTGTATAATGCAGTGTTTTTGTGTGTGTTTGTGTAGTGTGTATGTGTATGTATGTAATGTGTGTATGTAATGCAGTGTGTGTGTGTAGTGTGTATGTAATGTAGTGTGTATGTAATGCAGTATGTGTGCAGTGTGTTTGTGTTGTGTGTGTGTATGTAATGCAGTGTAGTGTGTGCAGTGTGTGTGTCTGTAATGCAGTGTGTGGTGTGTGTGTTTGTGGTGTGTGTGTCTGTGTAGTGTGTGTATGTAATGCAGTGTGTGTGTGTGTCTGTGTAGTGTGTATGTAATGCAGTATGTGTGCAGTGTGTGTTTGTGTAGTGATGTAATTTGTGTAATTTCTTATTTTAATATTTTTTTTAATATTTAAATGTTGTTGTTTTTTGTTTAGTCCCCCCTAGTGTGTGTTTGCGTAGTGTGTGTGTGTAATGCAGTGTGTGTGTCTGAGTAGCAGTATGTGTGCAGTGTGTGTTTGTGTGTGTTTGTGTAGTGATGTAATTTGTGTAATTTTTTATTTTAATATTTTTTTTAATATTTAAAAATGTTTTTATTTTTTGTTTAGTCCCCCCTCCCTGCTTCTTACCAGGGAGGGGGATATAGTATTCCCTGGTGGTCCAGTGGCTTGTTAAGTACAGTGGTGGCTCAGCAGCAGCAAGCGACTTACCTTGCAAGCAGCTCCAGCAGCTCCCTGTGTAAATCTCGCGGCTCTTAGTGCCGCGCGGAGCGTTGCCATGGTAACCCGTGGCAACGCTCTGCGGCCGCGGGTTTCGCGAGATTTACACAGGGAGCTGCTGGAGCTGCATGCAAGGTAAGTCAGCGCTTGCTGCTGGCCCCCACAGGACCGCCGAGCTTGTAATGGGCCCGGCGGTCCTGTTATATATAATCGGCAATATCGGTATCTGAATTGGCCGATATCGATATTGCCGAAAATACCAAATATCGGCCAGACCGATAATCGGTCGATCCCTAATTTGTATAGTTCTAAAAGTATTTGTTGGGGGTAATAAACCATCCTTAGCTCCTTCTGGTTATGATGATAGGAATACCCTGGCCACATTCCATGGTATTGGGGCAAAATGTATTTTTAACAGTTAGCTCTCTTGCCTGGGTCCTGTTGGGCTCCTGCTCTTCTTTGAAGGCAGATTTAAGACATCTGGCTTCTACAGAGCAGCAAAAGCTGACCAGAGTGTTAGCTGACCACTGTCAACCAATGAGTGAGCCTCTGTGCAAAGAAATTTAAACAGAAATAACATTAGTCCAGAAATCTTCCAAAGTGAAATGCTGCACATATACACTCCAGGCACAATGACTACGTCAAATTACTAAAGTGGTCATGGTGACGGGAGTAACTCTTTAAAGAGAACCTTTAGTTGTGAAAATAGTCGTCTCTGTTCACCCCTTTTCTGTCCACTTCCCTTTACTATGTAAAATTAAGCAAAATAAAGTGTTCTCCTCTCGTTTGCAACTCTGGACTCATCTGCTGCAATCTCCTGCTCCTCCATCGATGATGTAAGCATCCAAGTGATATCATCTACAATCTCCTCAAATCCATTGCTTTTCATAGAAAAGGTAATGGATTAGAACTAGGAAAGCATGGCCAAACACCACACTCCTCCAAGTAAATGCTGCTATCAGGAAGCACCTCTAGTGGATTTCAGGAAGACAGCCAATAGAGATGGCTTTAGACCTGCAATGTTTTACATTGTAGGGTTAAATAACATCAGATGAAGTGTTCTGGGTGACTATTGTGTTCTTTTCATATTGAGAAGGGCTAGCTTCCCCCCACAAACATACAGGGTAATAGATATTTGTTATATCAGGTATGCTAAAATGTTTTTTATATTAGTTCTATTATCTTGAATTATTTTTGCCTAAAACTTTCATATGGAAGGCTATCCCCCGCCAACATGAAATATGTAATATTTCTTTAACCATGTGAGCGAGTTGGTCTGTTCACTGTTGTGGGAGTTGGAGCCCACAATATTTAGATTATTGCCCACACTGCAGAAGTAGACAACCTCCTTTACTCCAGATGCTGTGGAAGACATTTCCCATGATGGTTTTTTTTTGCCAGCACAATGGCTGTAAGTGCATCTGATGTGTCTATCACTAGCCTACAGTGTTGAACAAATAAACTGCTATTTTCTTATGCAGCAGATATAAAATATATATATATATATATATATATATATTATTGATGACAGGCAAAAACTTGCCATAAGAGGAGCCAGGGGATCCCAATTAGTTTTTTCCTGTGGACCCTTTCACATAGTGTACCAGTATCGTGGATCCCCCTCCCTCCCCCCGCCACCCAAAAAAACTTTTGTGCCGTACAATAAGTCTTTTAATGAGCAGAGTGTAATGTGTTGTTTTTTTGGCAAATTGTTCTTATATCTGGTTTAATTGTTGACATTTTTGGCTCAGACTCAGAGTAAAAAGAACACTTCTCTAACATGGAAAAATACAGCTTTCACTACCTCAGTACATAGTATGCTGTTTTGTTCTCAGCTCTTAGTGAGCAAGTTAAATACACATGTTTTTTGGAGTATTGAAGCAATTATATAAATATTTGTATTTTTGGAGCAGAAGCATTTTTTTAATATATACTTTGATATCTACAGATACTACAGATAGTAGACAGATTGTAGTACTTAGAAGCAGAATAATATTGTATGGTTTTTAATTTTTCTTAAATGTTTTTAAATAAAATGATTTCTAAAGACATTTTACCCCAAAAAAAAAACTGCCCAAGTAACTTAGGACAAAAGTGTGATATACAAATATTTTCAAGGGCACACTTTTAGCACAGTCTGACATAGAAAAAAAGAAAACCTATCCCCAGATGCCACATTGGGCTCTAATATAAAGGAAAGCACAATAAAACAAATAATTTCCTTCTTATGTGAAGCCATATTGGGCACAATACTGAATATAAAGTAGCTGAGCCTTAAAGGACCACTATATGCACCCACACCACTTCAGCTCAATGTCTCCCTGACAGCCACTAGAGGCGCTTCCGCTATTTACACCGAGTAAATCGCACTTATTTGACGCTGGATGTCCTCACGGACCTCCAGTGTCAAAATAGATTTCCATAGGAAAGCATTGAGTAATGCTTTCCTATGGGCGGGTTTGAATGTGTGCGCGCCTCTGGCTGCGCATGCGCATTCAGCTCCACTTGGGAGCTGACATTGACGGAGGAGGAGAGGTCACCTGTGCCGAGGGAGCCTGGCGCTGGATTAAGGTAAGCAAATAAATGGTTAATTAACCATTTATTTGCCCGGGAAGGGGCCCTAGTCAATTAGAAATACATATTTGAATTCCTAACGCTATAGTGTTCCTTTAAAGAATGAGAGGTTTCCTACATATGGCCATCATATGTCAATGCTCCTAACCAAGTGAGCCTGAAAAGGCCAACAGTTTTCCTATTACTAATTCGGGAACAGTTGTTAATTATAGGGGTAAGTATACATAATATAAATCCTGAGAAGTGACAGTTCCCCTTTAAGAGTTCCAGAGAAAATTCGAGGACCATTCACATTACTTGAAAATTACCATGAAATTCAACTAGTATACTATGGTCTTGCTGGAGAGAGCACATCAGTCAGCACTTTGTACTGTGTTGTATTTACATTCTGTACTTACCAAAATGTAGAGAGGGAGTTTGTGGAGGCAGTGCAAAAGTGATGGGATTATTTTTGCAGTTTTCTGTAATCTTTCACTGCAAATATTTGTTTGAAACACAGGCAAGTTAGTGAATCACAGTATCATTATCTGACTAATCAGTCATGGAAGCTAAGTACAAAGTCTAGCATGGTTTGGACACTAGTAAATTGAATTTTTTAAAGGACCACTATAGTGCCAGGAAAATATACTCTTTTTCCTGGCACTACAGTCCCCTGAGGGTGCCGCCGGGCTCTAGGGGAAGGAAGGGGTTAAACTTACCTTTTTCTCCAGCGCCGGGCAGGGAGCTCTCCTCCTCCTCTCCTCCTTTTTCTTCCTTCACCGACTGAATGCGCATGCGCGTCGAGAGCCGCGCGTGCATTCAGCCAGTCCATAGGAAAGCATTCACAATGCTTTCCTATGGACGCTGGCGTTTTCTCACTGTAATTTTCACAGTGAGAAGCGCGAAAGCCCTCTAGTGGCTGTCAATGAGACAGCCACTAGAGGCTGGATTAACCCATAGGTAAACATAGCAGTTTCTCTGAAACTGCTATGTTTACAGAAAAAAGGGTTAATCCTAGCTGGACCAGGCACCCAGACCACTTCATTAAGCTGAAGTGGTCTGGGTGTCTATAGTGGTCCTTTAAGTTAAAAATATCTCTGACTTTGTAGTCGATGTTGTTATATGTGGCATCATTTTATCATGTGTGATGGTCAAATTATAGATGGACTAAGTTATGTGCAGGAAATTTGCATTAAATTATTTAAAGCAATAATACATTAAAATATAAAACTATAAACCAAAGCAGTGTCATAATATAACAGAACTTGATGATTCTTCTAGCCTGTCCCCTTACAAGGTTGCCTGCAATATAGCCATGTTTTAACTTTCTGACCTATCTGAGTTACAGAGGATCGAGAAAGATTGTTTGGGCTACAGATCTCTATCTACAGGCTCTGAAGATGTAAATCTGACCCTATATTGAAGAGAGCCTTTACTAAAGTGTCTATTTTTAGTTTATTATAGACATATATTATCTCAGTCACTGGGGCTTGTTCACTGAAGGCAGAATTGTGGGAAGCAGACATATTTTTGAACAAAATAGCCGAGACAGCTAAGTTTTTTCCTATTCATATATCTTGGTAGCTTACTATTTGTCATGAGAAAGTATATGCTCCCTTTAGTCTTCTAAAATAAAAAAAAATATGTTTTGGTATATCACGCAGTGTGATAGACAACACTACACTCTACGTTAAAAAATGTAATGCATAATGTGACCAGTATTGTAGTGTGGGGTTCCTAATCTAAGAGCAGCACATATCTGTCTTGGCCTGCGCAAGCTTAGCAGGGTTTGCACTTTTCCACAGCAACAGATTTGCAATTGTGCAAGTTTATCAACAGTGCAATTTTGTCTACCAATGTCCTCTCCTGACTTATCAGGAGATGGGCTGAATAAAAGACAAAGACACATATAGCAGCTGCTGCCTGTGAGTATGGCTCTTACCAATCTTTGGCAAACCGGGTCATGAATGCCCTCATCAGTGGCGTCGCTAGGGGGGGGCCAGAGGGGGCCATGGCCCCCCCTACATCATGCTGAGCCCCCCCAAATGCCGGCAACTTGCTGGCCATGTTCTTCCCTCGGACTGTAACAATCTGTTACAGCCCGAGGGAATGCAGTGCTGGGGGCTGTCTGTGGCTGGAGGGAGCACTGATTGGCTCCCCGGCACAGGCCCCGCCCCCAAACAAAGCCCCGCCTCCCGCACATAAGCCCCGCCCCCACCGCACTGCCCCCCATACACACACATTGCCCCCACATTGCCCCCCATACACACACATTGCCCCCCTATACTGCCCCCCATATACACACACACATTGCCCCACACTGCCCCTATAATACACCCCTGCCCCCATACACACACACATTGCCCCCTTCTACACTGCCCCCCATACACACACATTGCCCCCCTATATACACACACATTGCCCCCACACTGCCCCCCATACTGCCCCTATACACACACACATTGCTCCCCACACTGTCCCCTATACTGCCCCCTATACACACACACTGCCCCCCATACACACATACTGCCCCCCGTACACACATACTGCCCCCCATACACACACATACTGCTCCCCATACACATACACTGCTCCCCATACACACACAATGCCCCCATACACTGCCGTCCGATACACATACATTGCCCACACTCACACACACACTGCAACTGTTACACACACACACTGCCCCCCATGCACACATACTGCACCCCATACACACATATTGCCCCATACACAAATACTGCCCCCCATACACACATATACTGCTCCCTATACACACACACTGCCCCCATACACACACACACACACACTGCCCCCATACACACACACACCTCGCTCCCCCCATACACACACACTCTGCCCCCCTATACACACACATTGCCCCCCAAACACACACACTGCTCCCCATACACACACACACACTGCACCCATACACACACACTGACCCCCCCCATACACACACACTGCTCCCCTATACACACACACTGCTCCCCCATACACACACACTGCTCCCCCATACATACATACTGCTCCCGCATACACACACACTCTACATACATACACTATCCCCATACACACACACTGCTCCCCAAACACTTCCACCCCATACACACACATTGCCCACACTCACACACACACTGCAACTGTTACACACACATACTGTCCCACACCTACACTGCATCCCTGACATACACTGCCGCACTCACTCACACACTACAACCTTCAAACACACACACTGCTCACACACTGCACCCCTTACACATTGCACCACTCACACACACCACTGCTCATATGCCCTACTACGGGCCATTTCCCAGCAGAACTCAGGTAAGTTGTCAAACTGTTCTTAAATGGTTTGACTACTTACTCTGGGAGGGGGTCCCGGCACTATTGACACCATAACCACTACATGGAGCTGTAGTGGTTATTGTGTCTGGATTATTTATTTAAATAATCAACAAGTGCCCCTCCCGAGATCAGGCTCTGGATCAGCCACTGCTCAGCAGTCTGAGTGTGTGTTTATGGACTCAGCAGTCTGTGTGTGTGTCTTTACTCAGCAGTCTGTGAGTGTGTATGGACTCAGCAGTCTGTGTGTGTGTGTGTGTGTGTGGACATAGCAGTGTGTGTATGGACTCAGCAGTCTGTGTGTGTGTGTGTGTATGGACTCAGCAGTCAGTGTGTGTATGGACTCAGCAGTCTGTGTGTGTGTGTGTGTCTGTGTATGTATGGACTCAGCAGACTGTGTGTGTGTGTGTGTGTGTGTATGGACTCAGCAGTCTCTGTGTGTGTATGGACTCAGCAGTCTGTGTGTGTGTGTGTGTGTGTGTGTGTGTGTGTGTGTGTATGGACTCAGCAGTCTGTGTGTGTGTGTGTGTGTGGTGTGTGGACTCAGGTCTGTGTGTGTGTGTATGGACTCAGCAGTCTATCAATAATTAAAATTCCTGTGAGTTGTTGTGTAGGAAGGGCCCCAGTGCATTGCTTTGCCCAGGGGCCCTTAACTCTGTTAAAATGGTACTGCTTGTGTGTGTTAGTGAGCTTGTGTGTGTCCCTGAACTTCTTTGTAGTGAGCCTTCTAGTAGTGAGTTTGTCTGTAGTAAGCTTGTGTGTGAGTCAGAGAGTTTTGTCTGTCAGTAAGCCTATTTGCGCATGTCAGTGAGCTTGTGTGCTTACTGTAATATATATATATATATATATATATATATGTATATATATATATATTTATTTATTTTTTTACTTGTAGGAATGGCATACATTTTTTTTCCAGGGCTGCTTTGGATTCCCAGGGATTCCCAGTTTGGCTCTGCCAGCGAGTGCACTTTACCGCTGAATCATCTGTGTGAGCTGCCGCACACTTTAGCCCTGTTACATGCATCTGGGAGCTGCTGTTGACAGGTACTAGTAGTCTAGAGATTGGGACATGGGGTATATGCTCAGTTATCTGTATAATACAGATCTGTGTGTATATAATATCCCGGGATAGTCAGTGCTTCCTGTATAGTGCTGCTCTCTGTATAATACAGGCCTGTGCCTGTATAATATCCCGGGACAGTCAGTGCTCCCTGTATAGTGCTGCTCTCTGTCTTGGGATATTATACACAAACAGACCTGTATTATACAGAGAGCAGTGCTATTCAGGGAGCACTGAGTGTCCCAATTTATTATACACACAACCCTGTATTATACAGAGAGCACTGACTGTCCAGGGATATTATACCAAAACAGTAATTGATAGCTGTGCTGCAAAATGTCCTTGGAAATTTTTTTTTTAAATGTTGGCAACTATGGCACTGTATCAAGGGTAATGTGTTTGTTTTTTTAATAATCCCTGGTGGAAAATAATGAATCCTCCAAAGGTATTATTAAAAAAAAAAACAACACATTGTGTGGGGGGCGGGGCTTAACATGCGACAGGGGCGGGGTCAAACTGCAGCGAGGGCGGGGTTAAATGTGCCCCCCTACTTTTGTCCCTGGCCCTCCATGTGCCCCCCTAAAAATGAATCCTAGAGACGCCACTGCCTCATATTGCCCAAAGATTGACAACAAAACAAACCTGAGCTATAACCCTTAAAAGGATAAATATTTCCATATCTTTGTTGTGTAGATATTCATAAGCCACTGAGATGTATCAAGAAATAATATGATGTATCTGCACTCCTTGAGGGCATTATTTTCTAATAGCACACACTACAATGTTATGT